TGACCTGTATCCAAAACTTACATTGTTCAGTTTCTTAGGCAAGCATGGAATAACCTTCAAAGTTAAACCATCAATATGTACAACTGTACGAGTTCTCAAAAACAAATCTGTATCATTAAGAGTATCCCAAAGCATTCTGTCAAAGATTGCCAGACAAATCTCCTTCCCCAAATTGAGTAAGAACTTTTACTCAATTACCATAAAAAGGATTTTATAGAAGTCACAATTCTCAGCCCCATATTTACCATCTCCAGTAGTAGCAAGTTTTATACTGAACCATCCATAACCACCAACCCAAATTTTTAACCAGTATAAGGTATGTCTGTGAGTCAGTTGGATGGGGATGAATGAGGTGCAATCTCGTCACTTTCTGAGACGCAGTAAACTGAACCCCTAACCCATTATAAGCACCCAGCTGTCATCAACTTAAATTTTAGTCTGTGGTTGGTTAAGTACCAATTCACTTGCAGGGCAAAGTGAGCCTCAGAAAAATTCTTTTATGTTGCTAGATTGCCTTAAGGCCACGAAGTCATACCTTACTACCATAATTTGCAGTTTTCACCAATTCCAGTGAACTATATGGTGACTCTTTGTAATTCTTACCAGTTATCACCCACCTTCTTTAAATGCTGCTTTAACATCTAACTTTTAAGGCTCTACAAATAATGTTATCTTCTTTCTATCTTCTATATTGTTGATTATTCTCAAAGAGAAACGTAGTGCTTTTGTACCTTTTGTCTTTCAAATTTACAGAGTACATAAATCTACCAAGTTATTTAGATAGAAGTTACCACCCTTCTCCATAAACGCGGAAACAGGCTCTCCTCCATCAGGGTTTCTTTATAAAGGAAAACTGTTTAAAAACTGTTTAAAATATCAAGCCCATATAAGGAGTCTACCTATATTTTGCCACACAGAGTTTTCAAACTACACGTAAGGAAAATTTTTCCAAAATCTAACGTTTATTTCAGTTGAAGAGCAAAATAGTGCAAGTATTACTAATTTGTAAACCTGCCCAGAGATATTACCAGTTTTTCTCCTGCGAAAACAGACTTCCATGATGTGGGGGTGGGGGCACCCACTGTTATGCCCTTAGAAACATTAAGACCTTCACGTAAAAGGACTAGGAAATTAAGTTTGCAATTAAGAAAAATCTAAGAAAGATATAGATAACTGCACACTGGGAAAAATAAATACTAGCCTTTTAAGTTTACATTGCATGCTGCACCATTACATATTAATACAAACCACCCTAGACTCATGCCTTAGCGGTATATTATCACTAGTTTCCCCTTTAAAATTATCTGTGGAAATTACTATCCTGTTTCATAAAGGTTAGTGCCTTGGCCAATTAATACCAGCTCTAATTTTTACTGGGTTAAAATAAATCACTTCAGATATGTAAACCTTCTTCATTACCACACACAAATCATTTGAGTATATTAAAACTAAAAAATGGACCTACTGCCATCAGAAAGAAGTCTGAGAAATACCTTCACTTACTTTCAGTATTATGCCCCAAAAGAAACTTGTACCAACCCTTAAATCCTTATCCTAAACACTTGGCACCAGATGTGTTTCAGAATAATTCTCCAGGTTTTAGTAAGGTTATTACGGTTTACATTGTGTTCATTATCGGATATCCTCAATATGGCTCTTGATTAGCATCACATAATTGAACACTGTGCCAGCATATTACACGATTAGAACTGTATAGTTATTACTATAAAGTTAAGACAATCTACTTGAAATTCACCTACAGCCAGAAAAACATGGTATTTTTCTAGCTAGGAATACAAAAGGGTGCAATTATTACTACCCATAGAAATCTTCAGTATTCCTCATGTGAAAACAGACTTCCATGCTGCTGGGAGGGAGAGAAAAAGAGAAACCGCCCAGGGTTTTGTTCTTTCTTCCTTAAATAGCATTCGTAGAAATCTAACCTACAACGGCAGCAGACAGAAAACAAGGTCACAATTTGGGCAACGACGGCATGGGCTTTTATCTCCCCGAAATCTTGGTAGTATCCCAGGACGCAGCGTTCTAGTCACTACCTAGTAAGAAAAAGGAGTTAACTGGACTCTGAAGCTACGCCCTAAATGAAGTGTCCCGCACACAAGGAGGACAACAAATTTTAAATGTCCCTACCCGCTTTCCCCCAGTCTAGTTTAATTGGGGGATAGGGACATTTAAAATCTGTCTGATTTTACTGACACTACGTTCTGGTACATCGCTTCAGGACTCAAACGCAAAAGTTCCTCGAAGCCCAAAATTTGGCCAGTGTAGACTAGCAGAAAATAAGGCCGAAAGTCCACTCAAGTTCTTAATCGGCCTTAAAATGAAACTCCTTTAATAATGCCCTCAATTGTATGACTGCGGCTAATATATAACGGCCCAAATCACCATCCCCAGTAAACATTTTCGAATTCCCATCAAGCTCATTTTCGGTGGGTCGCCCCCAAAACTTATACCACTCACTTTAAAAACAAGAAGACAAGTGTGTTCCTGTATGTTAACAAATGAAAATTACCACTCTAGACCACAAACTAGTAAAAGTTGCATCACCCCGTCAGAAACAGGGAAAGTGTGTGGCACGGTTGCGAACGGAAAAGGACGGCACCAGGCGGGTTTTCCTGGACTGGTTCAAACAACTGGAACTGAGACCAGTTACTGAACGGCCGTGCGACGGCCGAGAAAAAAGTGACCGGAGGGTCACTCCGCGTCGCCGAGGACCCCGGGACTCCCAAGTTGCGCCGGTTCCTACCCGGGCACTAAATGCGGCCCCGTGGCCGCTCTTCCCTCACCCTCCGCGCACACCGAACAAAGGCCCAATCGGCCGGGCGCGCCAGGAACCCAACTATGACCGACTACGCGGGGCACCAGGTGGCCGCGACCCCAAACTCCGGCCCTCGCCCTCGGGCTCCGCCCCCCAGACCCCGGCACCCCCCCCCCCGACCCTGTTACGCCTTGGTCGCCCCGCCCGCGGGGGCCCCAGCTGAGAGAGCCGACTCGGGGTCTGAGAAAGCCGCTCACCGGTATTCGTAGTGTTCGTCGAAGTACTTGTCCGAGTAGTAGATCTGCTTGTGGGCCATCCTGCTGGCGCACTGCCGAAAATGAAACGAGAGAGCGCGAAAAGCGGGAGCAGCAGTAGACACGTCCACGTCCTGCCAAAGCAACGACTCGCCAGAGACTAACGACCGCAGTCTCAACGATCCCGATTTGAATCCGACAGCCCGCCGCCGATTGGACAGCAGTACCGACCAATCGCCTTCTGCGGAAGTCGGCCGGCTGCCAGCCTATCGTCGCCACCGCTTCACGAAGTCGGCTTCCCGGGTCAGCCAATCAGAGATCTGTTGCGAAGTTGCCCGCGGGAAGAAGTGGAGAATAGGTACGGCACGGGGGCGGGAGCGCCCTTGACGGGCAGGGGCGTGGCCAGAGGAGGGCGGAGTCTGGACGTTAAGCGTCGCAGAGCGCGTGCGCAGGAACGTGGAAAGTTCCAGGACACGGAACCGTTGGGGCGGAGGACCTGAGGGTGGAGCGAGGTATCACGGGGTTTGTTGATGACCTAGTCGGTCGAGGCCGGAAGCGTGGGCCACGGGGCTTTGAGCGGCACAGGGCTTTCAGCGGAAGCTGTCGACCTGGCGCTGTGATGGCCCCCCTCGTGACGCCTTGTATCCCCTCAGGCTCGAGCCAGGAGCCTAGGTCCGCTTTGAAAAATAGTAAAAGGCAGAAAGGCTCCGCGGTGTGAGAGGGAGGGCGGCTGCGCGGTCGGCTGGGTGAGAGGAGCGCCAGGCGGCCGCGTCGTGGCTGTGTCCGGGGCTGCTTTGCGCAGCCGACCGGTCCGCAGCCTCGTGCACTTACTGAGTTTGCGGCCTGGCCGGTGAGGGGCTCCTGGCGCCCCCCAGACAAGTGTGTGGAGAATGGAGCCCGCGGAGCCACGCATAGAGAGAGGGCGGGAGCCGGCTTGGTGGCGGCGCAGTCACTCGGGAGGCCCAGGTGGAGTTTCGCTTAAGCCCAGGAGTTCCAGACAGGCCTGAGCAACAGAGCTAGACCCCGTCTCTAAAAAGAAATGGGCCAGAGACCCAGGATGCTTTTTGTAGCCTAACCTAGTGTTCAAAACCAGGGCAGACCCAAGCCACGGAAAGTTTGAGGGATTAAAGTAACGTTCTGCAGCGGCCGAGAATACAAATGCTAATTCCTGGATAAGGGGGTTTAAGATAATGTTAAACTACTTCTGGTCTTTTAATACTGACCCTAGTTTAAAAACACTCGTTCATATAAAAAAGTTAACTGGGAGAAACATGTAAGTTGTGGTTATTTTTATGCATTAGAATTAAAAGTGATCTTTTTGGTATTTTTTCACGTTTTCCACAATGAGCACGTATCATTTTTATATTAATTTCTTTTTATGCGAAATGCTCCAGCGCAATACAGGCTAGTGGGCTCAGGGTGGCTGTGACTAAGTGACATAGACAGGGTGACTTAGACAAAGTCTCCAGACTAGAGGCTGGAAGTGAGAGGTCCGGGCACTCTTTTCCACGCTGCAGACCACGGACTTCTCCAGGTTTCTGAACAAGTGAGGAGACAGGCCCTCTAAGGACATTTATATTCTCCATGGTGAGGGCCCCATCCTCGTGACCGTCTAATCTGGATTACTTCCCAAAGGCCCCACCTCCTAATTTACTAATACAGTGACTTGGAGGAAGAGGGTGTTTGCAATTTCCTTTTTTTTTTGCTGGAGACAGTCTCACTCTTGCTCAAGCTGGAGTGCAGTGGTGTAATCTGGGCTCACTGCAACCTCCCCCTCCCAGGTTCAAGCCACTCTGCCTCAGGCTCCACAGCAGCTGGGATTACAGGCCACCGCCACCACGCCCAGCTAGTTTTTGTATTTTTAGCAGAAACGAGTTTTCACTATTTTGGCTAGGCTGGTCTCGAACTCCTAACCTCAAGTTATCTGATCACCTTGGCCTCCCAAAGTGCTGGGATTGTCAGAGGCTAGTGAACCAGAGCAACTCCATCTTAAACAGGAGCTGGGTAAGCTGAGGCTAAAACTTACTGGGCTGCATTCCCAGACAGTTAAGGCACATGATGAAACGGGAGGTCAGCAGAAAATATAGGTCATAAAGACGTTGCTGATAAAACAGGTTGCAGTAAAGGAGCCAACCAAAACGCACCAAAACCAAAATGGCGAAGAGAGTGACCTCTGGTCCTCCTCACTGCTATGCTCCCACCAGTGCCATGACAGTTTACAAATGCCATGGCAACATCAGGAGGTTACCCTATATGGTCTAAAAAGGGGAGGCATGAATAATCCACCACTTGTTTAGCTTATCATCAAAAAATAACCATAAAAATGGGCAACCAGCAGCCCTCAGCTGTTCTGTCTATGGAGTAGCCATCCTTTTATTCCTTTACTTTCTTAATAAACTTACTTTCAGTTTGCACTGCGGACTCACCCTGAATTCTTTCTTGCACCAGATCCAAGAATTCTCTCTTGGGATCTGGATGGGACCCCTTTCCTGTAACAGAATTACAGGAGTGAGCCACAGCACCTGGCCTGGAATTTCCACGCATGATTTGGTGAGTAGGAGCAGACACAAACATTCGTTCACATGTGATGGAATCCTTCAGGTCTCAGATTAAGGATTTCATTTTCTGAAAGGCCTTCCTTAATTACCTTCTCTAGAGAAGGTTCCTCAATTTCCCCATTATGCCGTTGCCACCGACTCCAGTTGGCTTCTCTCCCGCTGTTGCAATTGTATGTTTGCTTAGGAGATGTTTGTCTCCCTATCTGCACTATAAAATACTCACTGTTAGTGAGCTAAGATTGAGCCACTGCACTCCAGCCTGGGCGACAAAGCAAGACTCCGTCTCAAAACAAAACAAAACAAAACAAAACAAACTCTCTGTGAAGCTAGTGTAGAGTCCATGTCTGTTTTGTTCACCATGCAGTGCCCAGCACATAGCAGAGTCCCTTGCACATAAGCACACAATAAGAAGTAAATTTTAGGCACAGTATAATAACATAAGCGTAATTAGATATATAATTACTATGATGGCAAAAATGTGAATAAACTGTTAAGGAAAATGGACAAGGAAATTACTTTCTGGCAGAACCTGGGGGGAAAAAAACTTCCTAGGAGATACATTTTTAACTAAATGTACAGATATTCCTTAATTTACAATGGGATTACATCCTGACAAGTCAAAAAAAATTGTAAGTTGGACCATTGTAAGTCAAGGACCATCTGCATTGTGAAAATTTCAAACACATGGTATAATAGAATCAGCTTCCACGTACAGGTTGTGCATCCTTAATCTGAAAATCCGAAATGCTCCAAAAGTCCAAAATGTTGAACAACACTGACAGGAGCTCAAAGGATATGCTCATTGGAGCACTTCAGATTTCAGATTTTCCAATTAGAGATACTGAACTGGTAAATAAAATGCTAATATTCCAAATTCCAAAAAACCCTGAAACACTTCTGGTCCCAAGTGCTTTGGGTAAGGGATACTCGACTTGTTCCAGTCATTTAGCTTCAGCAATTTCCATTTGCCAATCATGTTTCATCTGTTCCCCTGTAACTTTTTTTTTCCTAGAATGTTACTGAAGAGATCTCAGATATGTCAGTTCACTCCTGAATAAAATTGTTCAGTGTATCTCTGTGTTTATGGTGTGCATCTCAGGAAAATTTTTAAAAAAATACTTAACCACGTCATTATTACACTTAGAGGTCCTTAATACTCTTTTATAGCTGTTTTAGAATCACATTCCCCTGACTGCCCCACCAAAGCTTTTTACAGTTAGTTTGTTTAACTCTGTTTTCAAACGTGGGCCTACATCTTTCATTTTGTTACTGTCTCTCTCTTTTTTTTTTTGAGATGGGGTTTCACTCTTGTTGCCCGGGCTAGAGTGCAATGGCACGATCTCTGCTCACCGCAGCCTCCGCCTCCTGGGTTCAAGCAATTCTCTTGCCTAAGCCTCCCGAGTAGCTGGGATTACAGGTGCCCACCACCACATCCAGCTAATTTTGTATTTTTAGCAGAGGCGGGGTTTCTCCATATTGGTCAGGCTGGTCTCGAACTCCCAACCTCAGATGATCTGGGCGCCTCAGCATCCCAAAGTGCTGGCATTACAGGCGTGAGCCACCACACCCAGCCACATTTTGTTATTGTCCCTTTTAGTGTTCTTTAAACAACCCCTGACCTCTACCTACATAGACATCCTCCCCGCACACACCCCTGCCACCTTTTTTAGCATCAGTTCATCAAACCAGGTCATTTTTGCCTGTGGAACATTACACATTCTGGATCTGTGTAATTGTTTCCTTGTGGTGCAGTTTCCCTGGTTTTTCTGTTTCTTGTGTTTGTTACAATCTGGCGTTTAGATCTAGGTTAACACAAAACCAAACAATTTACCAAAAATCTCTAGTAAGTGACAGACTCATATTTGAGCCTAAGCAGTCTGACTCCAGAGTTAGGCCTCTTACCCACTATTCTGTTCTGTCTCTTAGAGTTCCACAGGTAGAAAACCAGGAGGGCCAAGCACTTTTCCAGTAGAAGGATTGGCAGTTGTGAAGGCGTGAGGAAGTGTGGTACACACAGAAAATGCAGAACAGGTTTGCCTTAGAGTGTAAAAGTCATGGAAAGGAAAGTTGTAGGAAGTGAATGTAGGAGGATGAATGTGATAGACAGGAAAACGGCCCTCGAAGATGTCTGTCTTAGTCAATTTTTTGTTGGTATAAAGGACTACCACAGCCTGGGTAATTTACAAAGAAAAGAAGTTTATTTCTTACCATTTTGGAGGCTGCGAAGTGAAAGGTAGAGGGGCCACATCTGGTGAAGGCCTTCTACCACATCATAACATGGTGGAGGGCATCCCATGGAGGGAGGACAAGGGCCAGCCTGCTCAGGTGTCTCTTCCTCTTCTTATAAAGCCACAGTGCCATCATGGGAACCCCACCCTGATGATTTTAATCTTAATTACCTCCCAAAGGCCCCACCTCCAAATACCATAAACATATGAATTTGGGGATTACGTTTCCAGCACGTGAAATTTGGGGTACATATTCAAACCACAGCAATATTCATGTCCTAATCTTTGATATCTGTAAATGTTACCTTACACAGCAAAAGAGACTTTACAAATGTGATGAAATTAAGGATTTTAAGATAGGGAGATTATCCTGGATTATCTGAGTGGTCAAATATTAGCACAAGGGACCTTAGAGGAGGGAGACAGGAGGGTCTGTGAAGGAGCTGGGATGAAAACAGAAGTCAGAGTAATGTGACCACGAGGCAAGTGCAGCAGGTGGCTTTTTGAAGCTGGAAAAAAGAAAGAAATAGATTTCTTCCCTAGAGTCTCCAGAGGGAACTCAGTCCTGCTGACATAATTTTAGCCTAGTCATACCTATTTTGGATGTTTGACCTCTGTACCTATGAACTACATGTGACTAATAGAAACAATATCTCAGTGTGATGGTCACTGCAGCTTTGTAATTGTAGATGCCCTTTCTCATTTTAAGAATTCTTTTGTTCCTAGCTTGCTGATTTTTTATCATAAATAAATACTGTATTTCATCAAATGCTTTAAAGCCTTTTAGTTTTGTAGTTAGTTAAAAGTTATTTTACAACTATGAATATAAGTTGTAAATATAAAAGAGCTGAAAAGATTTTAGTAACTGCAGTCTTAAGGAAAAGTCACATGGAAATGTTATTGAAAACTAAATAGTTGAAATAAAAAATTTAATAAGTAAACTGCACAGTGGATATAAATGAAGAGCTAATTATTGAACTAGAAGATTATGTTGAATTCCAGCCCCAGAAAGCATTAGGAAGGAATAAAGAGATGGAAAATATAAAGTAAGAAGACATGGAGGCTAGAAGTAGAGGTGACAACTGTCATTAAAGAAGAGTCCCAAAGGGAGAGAAAAAATAAACAGAAGGGAGGAAATACTTGTACAAATAATGGCTGTGAATTCCCTAGTTTTAAAGAAAGATAAAATACTTTAGATTGAAAGGGCTTATAGAGTGCTGAACAGTATAGATAAAAAAATATATAACCACAGAAAGATTATTGTGCAATTTAAGAAGATCAAAGACAAAGGAAAATTCTAAAAGCTTCCAGGGAGAAATTGCACATCACCTACAAGGCGGCACGAATAGATTGCCAATGGCAATCTCAAAAGCCTCACTGGCTCCAAGAAGAAAATGGATTACTGTTGAGAATGTATTGGATAAAAGAATAAAAATAAATTCACTACAACAATGCAAAATATATTAAAAATAAAGCAAAGTTTTACTGTTGTCTAAAAAAGCATAGATGTAAATAATGTTTATTGTTACCAATTCAGAAACGAATGTGGCTAGTAGAGAGAGGCTAAGAGGGAACTTGGTGCGTGCTAAGGCTTTGCAGTCTGCTGATATCTTTGCAGCTGCTGATAAATTTAGGAAGTTGAAAGAGATTAGGAGTCCATTACCAGAACCATTGGCTACAGTAGCTTTGTTTCTGTTACCATCTGCAATAGCAAAATTAGATGCTTCAAGTACTGCATGCCTCCTTGGGGTAAACTGAAATTATTGTAACAAATACTTCTTATCCTAATATGCATGCTCCTTTGCAAAGCAACTTGACTACTCTTTCCATAGATAGGGGAAGTCTATTTCTTCACTCTTGGTCTGGTCTTGACTTGCTTTGGCCAGTGGAATGTGGCTGAAGTGATGTTATACCACTTCTGAGGCTAGTCCTTAAGAGGCATGTCAATTTCTACCTTCCCTGTCTTGAAAGGCTGCCTGTGAATGTGATCATCAGCAAGACACATAGAAGACAACCAAGTTGCTTGACCATCAGTAGCACCAGCTGCTAAACATGTGCCTACTGTAAGAATTACAGAAAGAGGAGAGAAACACGGAGGGTGGCTTGACACTCAATAGGTTTACTTCAAACCTGGGAGAGACTTTTGACCAAGTTAGGTCAGAAGCCGCACTCTCTTACAGACTATGAATTTTTAAGGATTCAGGGTGGGAGAGTTTATCAGAGGCTTGGACTGCTTCTGTGTCTCTTCGTTGTGCTTATCTGGGAGGGAGAGTTGTGCGTCTGTTCCCATACATATTTCTGCAGCTGCAGGCATATCCCTCGAGACTGCTTTTAGCTTCCCTATCTTACTGTACCTGAAGGGAACAGGAATGTGCTTATTAAGGCCCACTGTTTTACTGGTGCCCATCGTATGAGGGTGAAGTTTGGCAGTTACCCAAGAGACTTTCTCCTCACCTCCCTCTGTGCACAAGCTGTCTTATCTGTGTTTTACTGTCTGTTCTTTCTGGCTGCTTGTAGTTAGAAGAGAAGTGATTTCCTTGAAATGCATGAGGCTAGAAAGGGAGTTGGAACTTAAAGGGGCAGTCTTTATCCCATATGACAGTGCTCCTGCTCTGTCATTCCAGACCCTATAGTTATAAAAGGACAAGGGGTGATGTGTTCTTTCTGGCTACTTCCTGCTGATGGTGTGGGGAGAGAGTTTTTTGGTCTTGGATTAACTGCAGGAGCAACACCGTCTGTAGATGTTTTTGGGTAGTTGTCTGCA